CAAGCAACTGACAGATTTGATGGAAACAAACCAACACACAAACACACAGACAGATGAGGCACACACAAACAAACACAAACAATCACGAACAAACAAACAAACACACACACACACACACACACACACACACACACACACACACACACACACACACCCCGCACCTGCAGCCGCAGGGGCGGGCGGCGCCGTAGAGTGTGAGCATGTGGAAGTAGCCGCTCAGCTCGTCGTTCAGTTTCTGCAGCCATCACAGAGGGGAAACAGGTGTGGTGTGGTTGGGATCAGGCCTTGCGAGAACTAAGCCCCCCTGGAGATACGTACACGCACACACACATACATACATACAGACACACTCACCGAGACTGGCATGGGGTGCCCGTAGAGGTCACGGAAGCGGGTGGCATACGAGCGCGCCTCGTTGGCAACCTGAGAACACACACAGACAGACAGACACACACACACACACAAACAGACAGACAGACACACACAGACACAGACACACACACAGAGGTTGGTTAGTGGGGAGCACGCACGCATCGCATCAGCAGGCAGAGAACCAAATGGAAAAAATGACGGTGCATTGGCCCTGTTGGCTTACCGAGCGACCATCTGTGACAAAACCGCAGTAGGCCTGAAAGGTTTGCGACACGGGCATCGCAGCTGTGAGTGACATTGCGGCATGATCACGGACAGCCGCTGTCGACAGACAAGACAAGACAGAGAGGTACTGTACTCACATGCACGCAATAATATTTACACGCACGCACGCACGCAAGTATAAGTACACCCCCACACACCAACCAACCAGGCCAATGTGGCGATCAATGGTTGCGACGCGGCGGGTTGTCTTTGCCTCGTGCAGCTTGGAGGCAATTGTGTTCTCGGCGGCAAACACCACACCATCCTTGCCACGCAGAGCAATCACAGTGCTGAAGCAAATGGCAACGCAGATGGCGCGACGGCACAGCAGGAAAAAGAACATACAGCCAAGTGCAAAGGCGGGGGGAAGAAGGACAATAAGGGGGGGGGGGGTGGAAGAAAGCGGTAAGCGTAACGGAGCAGATGCAGGCGGCTGAGTTGTTGAAGTGATGATTCTTGTTATTGTGGCTGGCGTGTGTGGCGTGTGCATGTGCCACAACCCATCATTGGAAAACACTCACCCGTCAACACAGCCACAGACACACACAGGCACACAGACACACAGACACACAGACACAGATACACACAAACACACACCTGCTGTTGTCCACTGCCTTTTGTGCGTATTCAATCTGGAACACGCGACCGGCCGGCGAGAATGTCTGCACCGACAAGTCATACTGCGCTCCCACAGACAAGAACAGCAAACAGCAGCATCAATGGACACGGAGTGACGCTCTCAGACAGCAAAGGGCACACACACACGCATACACACACACACACATACACACGCATACACAGACACACACACACACACACACGCAAACGAAAACAACGACATTCATTCATGCATATTTGATTTATTCACTCCAGCCCACTCCAACCTAGTAACGCCAGCTTACCCCTGTGCCAATGGAGCTCATGGTCGTGTGTGTGTGTTGTCTTGTCCTCACTCAACAATAACAACAAGCGGTGGCGTCCCCTGCTTGCTTGCTCCAGCAAAGAAGGATGAAGAAGGAGGCAGACGGTGGAAGAGCAGCGGTGAAGCGGTTGTCTCAGCAATCGCCGTCAGTCGGTTGTCGATGGTTTTGTGCAGTACGGAAAATCTGCCTTATCTTCAGCACCTGTCAAACTTGACGTGAGGACTGCCAAAGCAGAAAAGGCAAAGGCAGAAGGGGGAGGGGCAGCAGTGTGGGGAACAACAAACAACACACACCAATCAACACGCTCATCCAAGCTGTCTCACGTCGCACCACTGCGCCATCCAAATCCAACTCCATCTTGCCTTTGGTCGTCTTCTCCAAGTGGTTCATTGTTTGGTGCTGTGGCTGACAACATGGGTGTAAGTGCATGATGGTGATGACGACGCATCGAGGATAAGCAGAAGAGGGAATGGCTTGTGTGGCAAGCAAAGCTGTTTTGTTTGCAGTTGCTGCCGATCGCAATTTGTTGTTTTGGAGCTCACACTCAGGTTCACTCACAATCCACTTGAACGTGCAGATCGACGAATCTCCACTGCCAAAAGACTTTGCGCGCGCGTACTTTGCAGCCGAGGATCGCACCGTCTTCCTCAACAAGAAGCTCCAGGTGTGTTTTCGCGTGCATGGACGTTTATGAGATGTGGCGGGCGCATTGTTGTTGGTTGCTGTCGTCTTGTTGCTGTTGTTCACAGCGCAGTCCAGCTTGTCAGCATGCTGACTGTGTGCACATCTGGTCCCATTCGCAAAAGCCTCTGCACTGCTGCTCACACAGTAGCCATGCACCGGGTCGATGTGTGATCGTGCGCGCGCACATGTGTGTGTGTGTGCGTGTATCCACAGGTCGCGCAATGGGAGCATCCAGGCGCTGACGGCGCAAAGGCCAGAACGCGCACCTCAACCTTCCCGCTGGAGCGCGCAAAGCGTGGCGTGCCCATCATCTTCCCGTACGTCTGCATGCGCTTTGGTTGCGGCGATCATTGCCACTGCTGTTGTTTCTCCCTCTTCAACATCGCCCCTTGCCTCCCTCCTCATACCGCGCCTTCCACGCACTCACCCACCTTATGTGTGCGTGCGCGCGTGTGCACAGGGTGTCGCCGCAGCCCGCGGACATGCCGCCTGACTGGGAGCAGTGCGTGGCGTCCATCCCACACCGGCGCGGGGACTGGGAAGACCCGCATATCCTCTACCGCAACGTCACCGATCACGCCGTGCAGGAGGTGCGCTGACGAGCTTGGCACTCGAGCAATCTTTGGTGCAATGTGCAATGTGGTCAAGATGTCATCACATCATTGTGTGTCATGAAAAGGCAGAGGAATGTGTGGGAAGACAAGTACAGAGAACATGTCGTTGAGAATTGTCGCACTATCCATCGCACACTACACTGCCAACTATGGTCAAGCAGCCACGCCCACAAATACCACTCCTTGCTGACACGTCATGAACTGTCGCACAATGTCCTGTCATCCATCACCACGTGCGCATGTGTGTGTACGTGTGTGTACGTGTGTGTGTGTGTGTGTGTGTGTGTGTGTGTGTGTGTGGTAGGCGGATCCACGTCCAAATGCGATTGAGGACGAGCTGCCCGCGGGCTGGACCAAGGAGCTTGATGTCGACGGTGACGTGCGTCAACTTGCACACGTTGTGATGGTGGCTCTGCGTGCGTGTATGTGTATGTGTAGGTGTGCGTGTGTATGCGTGTGCGTGTGCATGTGTATGCGTGTGTATGCGTGTGTATGTGCGTGCGTGGTTTTCTCACTTGCACTCCCTCTGCCATCTTCCCTTGTCCCCTTTCTCCACTCTGTCTGTGTCTCCGTCTCCTTGTCTTGTCCTTCCTCGCGACTGCGCGTGCGTGTGTGTACAGCCGTACTTCTTCGATCACGACACGGGCATGGCCACATACGACGACCCGCGCTATGTCGAGAACCCAGAGCCGAGTCTCTCCCTGCAAGCGGTATGCCCTGCACGTGTGCCGTTGAATGCCCACGCAGGAGTACGCATGAGCCTGCTTGCACGTTTGCACGCGCATCCACACTGATGCACACACATCAACAGCACATCACACCTACATCCACACACACACACACACACACACACACACACAATCACAAATTGACACGCGTGTGCTCTGCTGCTACGTGCCAACAGCAAATGGCGACGAGGCAGAAGAAGCGCTCCTCCTTCCAGAAAAACGTCGTCACAAAGAAGGTGGGCACATGTGCGTGTGTGTGTGTGCGTGCGTGTGTGTGTGTGTGGACACATGCGTTGTTGAAGGATGTGTGCTGTGTAATGTGGATCACAGGCATGGAGTGCTCCCAATGACCATACCAGCACTTCATCATCATCATCATCATCACCATCATCATCATCATCATCATCATCACCACCATCATCATCATCACCATCATGGTCATCATCACCACCGCAGACGTGGATCATTGGTCCGGAGGACCTGACCGCCTTCTCTGCCATTGACAATCAGCTGACAAGCGTCGACGAGGTATTGTGTGCCATGCGTGCGTTGAAATGTGCGCGCGTGTGCAAGACTGCACATCTCTGCAACACGCATGCACGCCTGCTTCTCTTCCTCAATTATACGCCCTGCAATCCTGATGTGTACGTCACACGCATCTCACAATTCACACAACACACACACACAACACACGCGTGCTGTTGCGTATCAGATCCCCAAACACGTGCGCAACAAAGTGCACAACCGATACATGGACATTCTCCCCAATCCACGGGTGCGTCGTGGTGGGCATGTTGTGCTCTGTTGTGGACTTGTGGAGTTTTGTGGAGTTTTGTGGAGTGTGGTTGCTATCGTGCCTTCCATCACAATCTCGCACGTGCACTTACAATTTCTCGCTTCAACACCCACACACATATACACGCACACACACATACACGCACACACGCACACACACACACACACTTACACGCACACACACACACTTACACACACACACGCACACACACATACACACACTCTCTGTCACAGACGAGTGTGAAGCTGCCTATGATTGATGGAGACCCGACAAGCACTTACGTCAACGCCAACTACGTGCGCGGACCAGAGGGGCAGGCAAAGTTCTACATCGGCGCCATGGGGTGAGGGCTTGTTCAACATGCAGGAGGTGGCAGCGAAGACATGGAGTGCGGGTATGGGGAAGCAGGGAGTAGGCTGCAGAGACGTGTGTGTGTGTGTGCGTGTGCGTGTTAGCAAATACGATCTGAGCGCTTGTCTGGCTGTCCAACTGCTTTTGCTTTAACGTTTCACTCACACGAGACTGCCGATGCACAATTGTGCGTGTGTGCGTGTGTGTGCGTGCGTGTGTGTGTGTGTGTGTGTGTGTGTGTGTGTGTGTGTGTGTGTGTGTGTGAGTG